CTGCTGCTGATAACGACCGACCGGACACCACCACACACGGTGATTGAATAAGCACCCTTCGGCGAGACCGGATTGAATTCGATTTTGACATCTGTGTTAGGGAAAGCGCTTTTTGCAGGCAATCAGTGATAATTTTGATCACCATTGCAACATTTGTGTAGTTTTCAATAGGGACCCATTGTTCATTTTAACAGATTTGTAGAAAAATTTATAATCAATAGGCTTGTTTAGAATTAAAATCCATCCAATAGCGGATGGATTTTAATTCTAAACAAGTCAATCGATAAGAAATTTGGTCTGTGGTCTGTCAATAGCGACAGACCACTTTTCGTAACGCGGTCGATTTTGGTTTTTTTGAAAATGCACACCCAATATGTTGCCGAAAGACGTAACTCTACGCCAAAAACTGACCCAGGACCGCACTTATTTTGTGTCACTGGTTTCAGGAGGTTTGAGATACCTATTATAATGTAGCAATAAGTAAGATGTTGTATCCAAGACACGACCGTAGATTTGACGTTGACACTTGTTCCCATCACGGAAACGCCTCATTTTCTGATGATAAAATTACCCATGTTGGTGCACAAAACGCACGGAATTTTTAAGGTTATACAATAGATAATAAATAAGCGAAAATGTATTTGAGGAATTTCTTGCTAAAATCTTCCATTCGCGAGATTTTTGCGATCAATCATACAAGTTCGAGATTTTTTTGCTTTTCTCTAGCAACATGGAGAAAACGTTTCCTTAATTCAAAGTGTTTCTGGGTACTTGACAAGGTCATGTGGTATTCGGTCATTGTGAGAATTTTAACGCTATTAACAGAGTTATAAGTGGTCAAAATCTGACCACTTTTCGTAACGCAGCCGATTTAGTTTTTTTTCTAATTGCACCCCCAATATGTTGCTGAAAGATGTAATCCTACGTCAAAAAAATCTGGAGAATCGAATGCAACTAGTTTTGCCTAGAGTAAACTACCGCAAGTGCAGCATTTTGCCTGTTTCTTCCCATTTTCAGCCTAAATTAACAGTTATTTGGTTTTATATGCATCTGGGTGTGATCTACATATAGCTCTAAATTATGTAAATGTTCAATGTCCCAAAAATTTAAACATCATTTAACGTATTTCATCCGTTTCCACTTTGTGCTGCATATATTTAAGTTTACAACAAACATAAAACAACATAGAAAACCTAAAAAAAGATTTTTCTTATTTTGGCCAGCTTTATGTTCTAGGTACTCATATATGCAGCGTTGAGAACCATATCAGTTCGGTTGGAGCAGTGATATCCCAATTAGGTCTTCGCTATTTAGCTAGACTTTCGCAGAACTGATTTTGCTGCTTTGAGCCACTCCCAAGTAACAATTTGGGTTTTATGAGGATTCTGTAGACCATTATTTAGACTAGTGGACTGCTGTGAACCTCAATAAAACTTGCAATGTTACTTGGGCTCACTGGCCCAAGCAAATAAAACGGATTTTTGTACAGAAGTGCTTTTGATACCAGGAAATCCAACAATGGTAATGATTATAGTCGCTTTAGGTATAGTCTGGCAGACAGAATCTCGGGAACTAATTGAGCTGTCAAATAGCGGAGCCAATCGAGCATATCACGACCAACAACAGAAAAGAGCAAATCACCTTTTGCAAATAAATCTGCAAATTGGTAACTCCTCAACATCCGCTGACGTTTAAATTGCTATTATGAGCTATGTAAATCTGGAGTAACAGATAGCTGGAACCTTATAAATGTTCTAAATGCAACCTAAATGTATACTTCCCCCAATCATAACGTGCGAATAGTGCATAGTTGTATGAAACACAAAGCATTTTGCAAAAAGCATAAAACTTACGAGGCGGCGCATTTTACCCCTGCCAGTGATGAATGCATATTTTTACATGATGTTTTCGGTAACACAAAAAAATATTCGCTGAAGCAGAATGTTTATGTTTGATTAAAATGTATTGGGAATTTATCATTTCCTTAGGGGAGGGGCATGTTGATGATGATGATGATCCCACCTAATACTTCTACAAAGGTTTGAGCTGGACGATTTATCTTTAATAATTATCCTATGAAAATTTAACCAGGTTTGCAAACAAAATCGATCTGGTTACAGTTACAGATATAAATTCCCTCTAGAGTTTACAGTTGTTTCACAGCGATATACCTTTTTGTCCACCTAAAATATTCATAAGTATTACAAGCAATCAAGAGTTAATGAACAATAAACAAAGCATCCTATTACACTAGCAACCCCGCAGTCTGCGTTACCCTCCGTTCCCCTACCAACTGGCATCGTACCGCTTTGGGTTCCGGTTTGACTTTGATTAGAAAGCCTAGAAGAAGCGTTTCCAAAATGCTTGAAACTCTGACTGGGAAACTAAGCCGTGGTCGTTAACCCTTAGTCTATAGCATCTGTTTCATTGGAAGCAAAGCGCACCGATATCGTCATCATAAAAAGTTCCTATGGTGACGATTTTAGTGACCTTTTTGGCGCATTCTGTTTTCAATGAAACAGTAAATATCTCAAAGGTAAAGCCAAGTTCATGGCAAAAATCCTTCAAAACGTGTATTTAATAAAATTAAAAATATGTCTCGGCTAGGAGGCAGGCCACTTCCATTTACTTAACACGAAGAACTAACTGACCCATACTATTCCTTGTATTATTTAAACTAAATCTGCTTCGAATTTTGTCATAAATATATGTCATGAGTGCTTTAGCAATGAAAAATGACAATAATTGTCATTTGTTAACACTACTATTTTGCAACATCAGATACGTTCTATTCTTCTTTGGCTTTATTACATCCCTACTAGGACTTTACACTGACCTTCAACTTATACCGAATTTGTTTTTGATTTGAGTCCAACTTTACGCCATAATGACTTATAAAAAATGTTTTTTTCATGTGAATTTTCTTTGAAAAATTAGAAGAAATGTGATTTATTTTAGATTGTTGATACCTCTTTTTTTTATTTTTGAAAAATCAAAACGAAATTATTTTTTTCGGGGCGGTGAACTTCCCCTTAAGATAGGTTTTGTTATTACTCTGTAGTTTGAACAAAACATAGGAAACAAAATTTTTGTAATTGTCCTTCGATTGCGGAACAGAGATCGACGGAAAATGAAGGAACGAGATGAAATTTTGGACGATTGGAATGTTGGTTCATGCACGATTGGAATGTTGGTTCATGATGATCTAAAATTTTTCCGTGTGATTGTTTCTCCCACTGACTGTGTCGCGTTGCAAGAAGATATACATCGTGTGATAGTCTGGTGCGGTGACAACGGCATGCGCGTAAACAGCAAAAAGTGCAAAATAATATCCTTCACTCGCTGCAACATCGTTATTCACCATCAATATTACATGGGGCCGGATTCTCTAGAACGTGCAATTTCAATCTGTGATCTAGATATTACGATCGATTCGAAGCTAAGGTTTAACGAACACATAAACATCGTAACTGCTAAAGCATATACTGTGCTTGGTTTTATTCGTCGTCATGCTTCTGGTTTCACCGATGTTTATTGTCTCAAGACGCTATTCTGCTCGCTGGTTCGCAGCATTTTAGAATATGCTTCCCCGGTTTGGTCTCCATTTTACGTTACGCATATCCTTGCGGTTGAAAGGATTCAGAAAAGTTTTATAAGGTTTGCATTGCGTCAGCTCCCCTGGAATGATCCAGTCAATCTTCCAAGTTATCCCGACCGATGCAAGCTGATTGATTTGGAATCCCTCTCTGCCAGGCGTCTCAAATTGCAACGACTGTTTATCTTTGACCTCATAACAGGAAACGTGGACTGTCCTGAACTTTTGGAACTGATTCCATGGAATACTCCTCCTCGACGATTCCGTAATTCCCCGTTGCTTGCAATTCCATTTCACAGAACGAACTTTGGATTCAATAATTGTTTTAATTCTTGTTTGCGTTCCTTTAATGATGTTTGTAGCGAGTTTGATTTTATTTTGACCAAACATGTGTTTAGTGCTAGAATAAGGCGTTTAGATTAAATTAGGTTTTAAGTAATGAGTCTGTACGACGTAGTCGAAGATGGTGATCAAATAAACAAATAAATGATGTTAAATAACTGCTCAATAGATTGAAAATATATCTTTTCAGGAGTATTGCAGGAGTAATGCATTACATACATCAAATTGCGATCTTCGGCAAGGTAGTGCCGAATCAATCAATTGTAGGATTTTGCTTTCTTTTTCTTCATTCCTATTACGTACCAGCGGCTGCCCTCCTCTTAGTGTTCATTGAACAGCTGACGGTTAGTTACAAACTTTCTAAGTCTGTCCCATTTTTGTATTCGTATTTACCCGAAAATTTATTAAACAAATCCACCGCCTCTGGTATGGTATGCCACGCCTGTAGTACTGAAGATCTGGCCACATGGCTCGGTCTGCAAATTCTGAAAATATTAACTCAATTCTATGCATCATATTCAGTGTTGGAAAAATATAAAAAAATCAAATCTCATCAAAAAACAAAATCACGCTTGATTTTCGTAGACAAAAATCTACAAGCAAACAACTGCGGTTTATATTGCAAGCTGGTGATAGCAAAGTTCGGGATATTAAGTTAACAAAACTCACCAAGCTGTGGTGAGATTGAGTTCCTTGGTTTTGGCTTTATCCCCGAACGCAACAGAAACTTCCATATCAGCTAGTAACAGTCGCTTCGTGCCTGCCATCGTTGAAGATAAAAATGAGATAGCATTATTATACCTTCTCTTTCTAAGAAAACGAGGTGCAATAAATCATTTTTGCATCGATTCTACTCTCAGCTTCAACTTTACACGGTGCGAATAATCTCGCAATATCAAAGGATATTTTGCTCCAATTTCACGCGTGATATTAAGAGCGTATGAGAGCGAAAAAAATATCAATTCCCTAATTATTTTGCCATAACTGATCATACTACTACATCACTAAAATATGCAATACGCTTGATTTGAAGAGTAAAGCTTTTACTGTTTATCTTCAACAGATTGTTCAAGAGTCTATCCAAATTCCTGGTTCGGATCTTCACCTTACCTATCAAACATCGCAGGCATCAGGCTACAAGAGCATAGTGCGGATGCAATTAACACACGACCAAATACCTGAAACGCTCACCCATGTACACATTGGAGTACAAATCGAAGGATCTTTGCACGTTAAGACCTATGAAGCGGATCCCAACTTGAGCTACATCTTTGCATGGAACAAACGAAATGTGTACAAACAGAAAGTTTATGGAACGGCAGTCGCCAGGATTTCCATTGGCTATCAACATTCTACCTGTAAAGATATTGTATGGGAGACTCAGACAGCAAAACTACAAGGCTTTGAAGTAGATATATCGGATATCGGCGGTTGGGGCTTGGATATTCACCATCATTACAATTTCCATGAAGGCATATTGCAAAAGGGTGACGGAACAACATTACATTTTAAAGAGTATCCACGAATTGTTAAACAAGTAATGGGAGATGGTCAGCAACGGCAACTTAACTGTAAAGACCATTGCAATGGCCTGTCTAAACATGCTAGACTATTAACCCCAGTAGCGCTCACATCGGGCCCTGACGGAAGTCTTTACGTGGGTGATTTTAACCTTGTGCGTCGAATAACTACTAACGGCAGTGTTTTTACCATTCTGGAGCTGGAAACAACACAGGTAGCCTACCAGTATTATTTAAGTGTGTCTCCAGCGGATGGGCACTTGTACATTTCTGATCCAGAAAAGCATAAAATACTAAGAGTGGTACAATTAGAAAATGTTCCTGATCCTACAGCAAACAGTGATGTAGTGGTAGGAAGCGGACAGCGATGTATACCTGGAGATGAGGAAAATTGTGGCGATGGGGGTCCAGCCAAACAAGCACGATTATCTCATCCAAAAGGAATTGCCATAGCAGCCGATAAAACCATGTATATTGCTGATGGAACAAACATAAGAGCAGTTGATCCAAAAGGCATAATTCATACTCTGATAGGTCACCATGGACATCACAACCACTGGAGTCCAGCTCCTTGTCGCGGAGCTCTACTTGCGACCAGAGCCCAACTGCAATGGCCCACAGGACTTGCTCTTAATCCACTTGACGGTTCCCTCCATTTTATCGACGATCGACTTGTGTTGAAACTAAGCGCTGATATGAAAATCAAAGTGGTGGCCGGTGTTCCTCTTCATTGCAATGGAAATGATGAAAATAATAAAACAAATTCAGATGATGTCCTTGGCACGGTGGTAGCAATGGCTTTTGCGCCATCAGGCGATTTATACATTGCTGATACCGATTCAAGGAGGGTTAATTCTATACGTGTAGTTGACTCAACAGGAAACATGCGCTCATTTGCAGGCAGAATAGAAAACGGAGCGTAAGTATTGAACAAATACATTGCATACTACGACTCAATGTTAATTGTTAACCGCATAATTCTGAACATTTCCATTACAGGCAATGTGAGTGTAACGGTGCCAATAATAGCAACAGCCAAAGTCTCAATGGTTATAATTACAGTACAATTACGCCAGTTACAATGAATCCTGTAAAGTATGGTGGCAGTGGTGTTAGTCCTGGTTCTACAATGCCACAGAACCCTTCTGTAACGATGATGATGACCGGGTGTTTATGTAATAATTACGGTAGTTTTAAAAATTATCAAGGTAGTGCCAGCAGCAGTAAGAGCAAAAAAGAGGACATGCCCACAGTGCAACCCGAAACGGTTTTATCATCTAACATCAAATTTCAAGCTATCTCAGCAATTGCAGTTGCTCAAGATGGTGTCATTAACATTGCGGATCAAGGTATGTTGAATGATTTGTATAGAATGTTTTTGTCTCATTTACATAATGTATGTATGATGTCAGTTTTGACTCATAACTTGGCGCTGGTGGTTTAGTGGTAAGCGTGAGCCCAGTGTGTCTGGGATCAATCCCAGTCGATATCGTTGGGATTTTACGACAAAAAACAAGTAAGGTCGTTGGTCCTGGCCCATATTTTGATAGGTTTGATAAGGTCCCAGGTTTCTTGTCACCTGGATATCTTGAATATAAGATTAAAAAGATTGGCAATATTTTATTGAGTACAGGAATTAAATTTGATAATCAACCGCATACGCCATGGGCGATATAATTTGGTTATATGTTTGACTCATTCTTTGTTTTTCTTCATCTTTTATCAGGATCTCTTCGGATCGTTGCACTGCAGCACTACCTGCCGCAGCATGACACAAACGGGGAATTTCAAATTCCGTACACACCGACAAACGAAATTTATGTCTTCAACCGCTACGGGCAACACGTTGCAACAAAGGATCTCTCTTCTGGGAAAACACGTTATTCATTTCTCTATTCGAAGAACACCAGCTTCGGAAAATTATCGACCGTTACCGATAGCTCGGGAAATAAAATACAATTTTTACGCGATTACAGCAATGTCGTGAGCTCAATTGAGAATACCCAGGATCACAAATCAGAACTGAAAATCTCTTCTAACGGTATGCTAACAAAAATTATTGAACGGAAAGGAAAATCCGAGCTGCAATTCGATTATGACAGCAATAGTGGTTTACTTCTTAGTCGAACCGGAAACAGTGAAACGTTCATCTATCAGTATGACGAATATGGACGTGTAACAAATGCCATCCTACCGAGTGGAGAGGCTTTCAAAATAACAACCGTTTTGGGAGAGAAAAATGATGATTTGGGAGTACAAATAAGCGAAAGCATTAATTCTCACTTTGCACAGGAGCAAGCAACATCAACTGTGTTCTCACTGACCGGCGGGATAAAGAACGCGATTATCGTAAAGGATGCCGAAGTGACCAATGCGAAAATAAACCACATCAACAGTACGCTATCGGTTTCACGCACCGATAATATTGGCATAGAATCAGCGGCCGTTGCCGCCCATCCATACTTGGAGAAAATTATGCCAATTGAAGCTGAGATGTTGCCAATGTGGTCTCACCAGACTGTTAAGATGGGAGATAACTTAATCAATTCGATGTATTCAAAGTACAGCTATGTGACCAATGAAAATAACCGTATACCACAGCAGCGATTCAGCCGAGAAATTTGGATAAATAATAGCCGAGCGATAAGAATAGATTATGAACAACTGCAAAACCGAGAAACCTTTTTGAACAAGTATGATGAAATCATACTGACAATATTATACGACCAATCTGGTCTGCCAATATCGTACTATCCAGGCGGTGAGACTAGTAGGTTCTATCCTTTGAACATTACTTATGATCGATTCAATCGAGTAGAAGGATGGCAGTGGGGACCTGCAGAGCTGAAATATAACTACGACATGAATGGCTTACTTTCAGAAGTAACTAGCCAACAAGACGGAATTATTTCGTATTCCTACAATGAATTAAACCTGTTATCTGAAATTTCATTGGGAAGTCAACGCAAGTTTAAACTATCTTATGATACGAACGGGGGCCTGCGACATATTACTCTACCAAGTGGTACGAAACATTCATTCAGTATTCAACCATCCATCGGATTTGTACGGTTGACTTATACTCCGCCTGGCAGCAATAAACCCTATCTTCAGCACTATTCCTATTCTGGTGCACTACTGCAGACTATATATCCTGGTGACGGAGCACGGATAGTGTATCGCTACAACAGTGCAAATCTTGTATCGGAAATTGTTCATGGTGATGGTCGTAGCGAGTTTAGTTATGCAACGGCTTCCAGTATGCCATCGGCAGTTGTTCATACAGAACGTGATTTGGAATATCGTTGGGACTTTGACTACGTGGGGGGTCTTTTAATGGAAGAAAGGATAGACTTTTCGGCAAAAACAGGATTGTCTAATGCCAAATTTAGTTACGAATATGACAACAACTTTCGCTTGACATCAATTCAAGGACGTATTGGGGGACAAAATCTACAAAATCAAATTTTGGCATATAGTGAAAAAACCGGTAGTTTATCTCAAATTGGACAGTTCAAAGTATCCAATCCAACTGTTAACCAAACCACCGTCGGAGACGGTACGGCTACGTTCGCTCGTACAATCAATGGCCGTTTTCTGGAAACTCTTATTACGGTAATGATTCATCGAATGGCGGTATTTCGGATGGAATTCACACACGATATACATGGTCGAATTTCTCAAACACGAACATACACTCGCAATGTAGGCGTTAATACATACACAAACGTAAAAAATTACACCTGGGACTGTGACGGACAGTTGATAGGCGTTGAAGCACAAGAGCCATGGGGCTTCCGATATGATGATAATGGCAACATGCTTTCATTAACCTACCGAGGTAATACTATTCCTATGGAGTACAGTAGTACGGATCGAATATTGAAATTCGGTGAAGGACCCTACAAATACGAAGCTCGTGGTTTAGTGGCTCAAAATGCCCGTGAAGAACGCTTCCATTACAATACACAAGGTCTGCTGATAAGAGCAACAAAACGGGGACGCTTTGATGTGCGTTACTATTATGACCATTTGAATCGGTTAATCACCAGGAAGGATAATTTCGGAAACGTTACACAATTTTTTTACAACGATCAGGAACGCCTGAATGAGGTAAGCCAGATCTACTCACCTCGTGATGGAAAATTGATGTCTCTTACATACGACGATCGTGGCCATTTGATATACGCACAAGTTTACCGACACAAATACTATATTGCAACGGACCAATGCGGAACACCGGTAATGATGTTCAATCAGTACGGAGAAGGAATTCGAGAAATTATGCGATCCCCATATGGGCACATAGTATACGATTCGAATCCCTATTTGTACATGCCGATTGATTTTTGTGGCGGAATACTTGACCAGGTGAGTTTGAAGCTATGTTTTATAAATTAGTTTATTAAATAACAAATTTCGCAACAAATCATGTTTTTTTTTTTACTTTTATCAAAATTTCTGAAAATCATGAGGGGGAAATAAAAAAAAATTGTGTTTTTATGCTGCATAGAGGAAATTTCGTGCTTTTTAAAAAATTGTAACACGTTTTATCGCTTGCTTATGATCTGTTTGTTTAATTGGGACCGTGATCCGGAGTAAATTGATCACCGGGGTTAATTTGATCGGAATGCCTTGTGTTCTCAATATATTATTTGATGATAACGATTAAATGACAAATTTAAGCGGAACTCTTCGGTAAAATTTAAAAAATCTGTGAAAAATTCAAAGTTGAGAAAATGTGTTACGAAAATTTACAGACTAACTTCTGTTAACCCCGTGTAATGATGAAAAATAAAAATTTTCGATTTTATCCAATCTTTACGAATAACAGTCATTTGAATTTTAACCGAGTCAGTAATACAAAAATCCACTAAAAATACTAACTCCTGTAAAAAAAATCTAAGTGCGTATACAGAAGCAGCGAAGCTCAACACTCCTCCATCGAAACAGCACCGCAGCTGAGCTGCGAGTGCTATGAAATAAAAAGGACATCGACTTATTACCACTATCTACTTCTCTCCCTTCCGCTCTCAGAATTCGCCGATTCGGTGTCTCTCATTGTGTTTTCTGCTGAGACTGATCAATATTCGATACCGCGAAACATCTCCGCAGTTATGTTTTCTTTCGGCGCAGGAGATGTGCGGTAATCAAAAGTTAAGAATGTAGCTAAACATTTACAATAACATACTACCAAATTTTCATGTGCGTAGTCCACTGCAACAGCCGAACGTACGAACGAATAGGGTGACTATAGCGCATTTTATGAAAACGTCACAAGTTTTTATGGCTGTTTTAAATCAATAATTACGAAGAAACCATAAAGCCTACAAGGTTACTATCAAAGGCACAAATCTAGGGAACTGCATGGAAAATGTTTTGTAGAACAACTAAATAAACAGAAATGAAAATTTTCAACTTAAAAACACTAAAATGTATGAAATTTCACCATTTTGTTTTTGGTACTTTCAAAATACTTTTCAATTTTAATGTATGATAATTAACTTTAATCGAGTTCTTTTTCAAAGAGCATTGATAGCTAAGACTTTAATCTTTCATTTGGTATGTTGAAATCAGAAAAACATTAAGATTAAAAAAATATAGCTAACCAAAGTTGGCAATACAAAAAAACATAAAATGTTGAATAACTCACTTAGCAGTCATTTCCGACCCTATGTTTCATGGGGATTTTTTCATAACCTTAAGAGCTCTATCTACCCTGAAAATATGTAAAACCCGGAACCAAACACCCTGTATATATATAGCCATTCCATAGCAAAACGATATACTGGTTCTCAGCATTTCGTAACAATTGACAGTTTTGTTCCATATCGAAAAGTATTACATCCGTATTTTTTTTATTTTCTCATTAGGGTGACCATTTTCCTTTTAGGGTGGTCAAAAAAATCGATTTTTTTCTATTTTATCCAAAAATGGCTTTTTTTTTTTAATCACAGCTTTTGAACCATTGAACCGATTTGAACGATCAAAATATCAAATGAAAGGTAATTAAAAATAATTTTCAGAAATAATATATTTTTTTTTTTTTGAAAATTGGAGTTTTGTAAAGAAGAACTTTGATTGTATTTGTTTTTTTTTATGGTTTCCATGGTTTGTAGACAATGGGCGTAACATGTTTTTTTTTTTTTTTTGAAAATCTAGGCTTTTCTTCACAACATATCAAAAAATCAGCGATGTATTTGTCTTAGTTTTTGAGTTTGGATTTTTTGAAATTATCACGTTTAGAAATTTCGCTAATTACTCCAATACGACTAGATTACCCTGCGTCTCCATTGATACATATCGAATGTTACATGGTTACATTACTTACTTATTTCAATTTATTCATATTCATAGCATAGGAATTCAAATAGAATATATTTATATTAAATTTGGGTAGTACATCTTTCACGGACTGTTTGGAACTCCTATGCTCCATGCTTTGATAAGACAATCTTATGGTTTCCAACTATGCACATGGCTAGTTTGAAATAAAATTAATTAATTTTTTTTTTTTTTTTTTATTTGTAGACATAAAACATGCTTAAATATACTTTCAAAGTTTCACAGAATGTTCTTCTTCTGAGAACGAGAATCGTTTCACAATAATATAATTTTCATTTTCTGGCCTAAAACTATGATATGACTGTGTTCCGGAAATTTGTTTGACACGATTATAACGAGTTTGAAGTTTTCTTTCCATCGCTTTATGATCTGCGTCTGAAAAAAATCCATAGTGCATTTTTGAATCGATTTTAGAAATTGCCCATGTATAAAGCTCTTTAGCAGTTGTAATGAGATGCCCCTGCAAACTTGCCTTAGCAGCATTTCGTTTCAAGACTCCTCCCAAAGCATCACATGGACCTTTACCGTGGCATGTGGCGAAAAAGTTCCACTCTGCATCTATACCAAAGTCCTTTTTAAAATGGCACAAATTAAAAGCTGTCATCTTATTTTTGTACTGACTGCCTGATCCATCTGAGAAAAACTTAATTTTCTTAAGGCTGGGTATCTTACTCTTGATTAAATTTATACAATTAACTACGAATAATCGAACTGAAACATGGTTGTGCTTGGTAAACTCCGCGATTGCAGTGAAACTAGTAAACATTAAATCTTTGATATGATCATTTCTATAATAAAATGGATGTATAGTGCACTGTGCGTTTGCCTCAATGAAATCCTTGTACAGCGTCTTGTACAACAAATAAAAAGTTTTCAGAAAAATTATATATTATTATACATTCCGTTACTTTCAAGTTACTTTTGACATATTAAAAGTATTTACCTTGCTGTTCAGCTATGAAATTATGTGGTGATAAATCGGATAGCTTTTCCAAAAACATGTCTATAAACTGTTGAGTTTCCAACTCCACTAAATCCATGATACAACGATCAGCTTGACGCCATTGTTTAAATTTTAAGGATCCCACATTTCCATCGGTCAGGATAGTAACCATTTCTGAAGTCAAATTTTGTATACCTGGGCAATGTTCACACATTTTTAACCAACACTGTTTTCTGTTAGGTTGGTGCAAATAATTTTAAAAAACAAGTCATGGTATGATTTCACATCAGCTGGAAGTGAGTTTCTATCATGAAGAGTTTTAAAAATTAATTTATCATTTTGGTGGTAAACACACATACAAACAGTATGTGTGCCACTCGTTTCTGCCAGAATGCAATGCTTAGGGCGGTTACTTGCAAACATTGAAAACCCTATTTTAGTTGCGGGATATTGATCCTTGAAAATGGCATAAACTTCTTGCAAATTACACAATACTAATCTTCGTTGTATATAAACCTTACCATCAACATTTTTTGTAATAACATAGTCGCGTTTTCCTGGATAGGCTCGGCTTATTTCGTCAATGGTATAGAAATCACGCACGAGTGATAAATTTTCTTCTGCTAAAGACGCCCTGCTCAGCTTTCTTCATGGTGTCGTCATTATCCCCTTGTCCTCCTGTAGTGTTTTGGTCCGATCCGCCATATATTGAGAAACACCGAATTCCTTCGTTATTTTATATGCTGACCAGCTTCTAGGTAAAGTCGTGAGAATGCGATACTTCTCATTATTATCATGAGTTTCTAGAAACTTTTCCTTGAGTTGCTGAATGATTTCATCATCGTTTGTAGTAGGCATACTGCCAGTACTTCTGATCGATTGTAAACTGGGTGCTTCTAGTGACTCTCAAAATGAAGTTAAAAAACATATTTGACATTACTGTAAACACTACACTACATTCGAGCCTGACGTTACAAAGTTTTCAGATTGCTATAATGTGACGTCATGCTCGTTTGACTCATGGCTACCAATGTAAATACATTTTTTAAATACAATATTCACCTTGGCTGTTGACAGCAGGAACTCCAGATGGTCCAGCGGTGGGCTCTTCGGGTGCGGGTTTATACAGTTTGAGGTGGCAATTTCTGCATATGAAGGAACTGCCATCTAATTTCACTTTTTTCTTCACCGCATGAACTTGAAGAGCTTGGGAAGATTCATCTTTAAAGCATTTGAAACCCACAAACAACAACAAGAATATTTAAAACTCTTTGTTTATAAAACACTGGCTGTACAGAATATCTTTGGATTAACAGAGCTTTTGTTTCCTCACTTCTAAGTTCATCCTTAAATATACCACCATGCATTGTACCTACGAACGAACACCTTACCTACCAAGTTTTCCGTATGATTTTAGCATGTGCTCTGTCTAGGTAGCTATTTACTTGGGGAAGTATTCACTTTGAATAAACAAGACTATAAAAGCAGAAGCAGAAAATTGATTTGGCTTATGTGACTATGTCAGCTATGCACCAATGGAGACGCAGGGTAATCTAGTCGTATTGGAGTAATGAGTGAAATTTCTTAACATGATAATTAAAAAAAGTCGTAACCAAAAAACGAAGACAAAGACATCGATGATTTTTTGATATGTTGTGTAGAAAAGCCTAAATTTTCAAAAAAAAAAATATAAAAACGTGTTACGCCCATTGTCTACATACCATGAAAACCATAAAAAAAACCAATAAAATCAAAGTTCTTCTTTACAAGGTGGAGGCGAACCAGCCCAAGGCTGAAAGCCTCATTAATAAAGTTAAATAATAATAATAATTCTTCTTTACAAAACTCCAATTTTCAAACAAAAAATATATTTTTTTCAAATCTGTTCAATGGTTCAAAAGTTATGATTTTTAAAAAAAATGCCATTTTTGGAACAAATAGAAAAAAAATCGATTTTTTGGACCACCCTTACAGGAAAAGGTCACTCTAATGAGAAAATAAAAAAATACGGCTCAAATATTTTTCGATAAAGAACAAAACTGCCAATAGTTACGAAATTTTGAGAACCACTATTTCGTTTTGCTATGGAATGGCTGTATATATATATGTATAT